GTGAAGTTGTTGTATTTCCTCAGCGACCAGCACGGATCAGCTCTAGGCATGACGAAGCGGATATCGTCCTCTTTTGGAAGGCCAAACAAAGTAGTTTCGCTTTCACAAGGAAACACACAGCGTCTGCACGACATAATGGCGGCGGCAACAACAATACTACAGCGAGAATAAAAGTTACGCCTTCTTTCTTTGCGTGAATATTTGGGAGCCGTTATGCAAATCTTCCCACATTGTGACGTAGATATGTGGGGGCGTGTTGGAACGAGACGTTTTAGGTAGGCGTGGTTGACTCTTTACTTTTATAAAGAATTATCTCTTTAGATTTGAGACTTTAGTCTTTGCAACTTTACAGATCTTCTTTATGCACCAAGAGCTTGTAACACTCCAAAGAGAAAGGAAAAATTTAAATCGCATAATATGACCCCTTTAAATTATGTGTTTTCCACTTTATTTATTTTGTGTTTTATTATTTAATACAAATTTATCATGAAAAATTCTGTCTAATGAAATTGGTAATAATATAATAAAATATAACAATTAATTTACAACAAAAACATTGCATTTTTATTTTTGTCAAATATAAGATAATGCACGACAAAACGGTATGCTTGATATTAAAACATGGATGAAAAATATTTGGGTTGAATGATATTCCTTACAAATAATAGTAATAGTATTAGCCTATTATTTTGAGAAGTACATTTTACTATATCATAGTAATATATTTCACGTTTGTCGTGAAAGAAGATACGATGAAAAGCTCTCTCGGAGAGGCTATGGAGATGAAGTTCATAAAGTGCGAGGCAAACGCTGAAATCACTGTGAGCTTCATGTGTGTTTGAGTTTGTAAACAAAACCATGCTTTTAAAACAGAGACACGCAGAACAAGCAGACTTATAAACAACATGCTTTGACTGGCTGTTTATTTCTGCTGTGCTCTGGGTGAAACTCGCGTAAGTTAACAGGTTGTGATGTGACATCATCTCCATTCTTAAGTTGCCAAGTATGTATTCCAAGTATAATACACATTAGTAAAAGGATCTATTTTCAATTTTATTTGTCCATAGATACACTTTAGGCGGCCGCAATACATTATAAAAGTAGCCCAAAAAAAACTCAACCCGCAGCTCTGTAATTTTTCCCGCGACTGCGACCCTGGCAACACTGCACACTGAGCTCTCTCTTCTCCCTATCATTACTAGACATGCCCCTTACTGCTGATTGGCTGTGAGTGTGGTTTGGGACTCGGTCTGACACAGTGGTCAAAAGCGTTTTTCAAATATTGCTTAGTGCACCTTTACGTCTTAAAGGGATAGTTTACCCCAAAATGAATGTTGCCATCATATACTCACCCTTGTTATTCCAAATCAATATGACATTCTTTCTTCCACAAAACACAAAAGATGATGTTAAGTAGAATGTTTAAGCTAATCTTTTGCACATGGAAAAAAATGGTGTACGATTTACTTTAAAACAAATTTTACTCAGAAATTGCTAGTAAATTTAACAAAAAATGTAATTAAAATTTGAAGTAGAAAGACTGATATAGTATTTTCTTGTAAAATGTACTACAATAACATATACAATAATTGGTTCATTCATATAGAATATAGCACATAAGTCTTCTGCAGACAAACTATAGCAGTGGTTTTCAGTCCTGGTCCTGGGGATCCACTGCTCTGCCAATTTTATATGTCTCCCTTACTTTACACACCTGATTTAGATCACCAGCTCATTAGATGAGAGTTCCATGAACTGAACTGATTGTATCCGATAAGAGAGAGATACAAAATGTGCAGAGCAGTGGGTCCCCAGGACCAGGAATGCTTTGTGTGCTACCACTGCTTTGTGTGTCATACAAAAAGTCCCTTCACTACAGCTCTCAAATCTCATTTGCAAATATACATATTCTGAAATGACAAACCATCATATGATATGACACGTAAGAACCTTCTCTTAATCTTTAGGCACCATATTCAAATATAGAGAGCTAAGCTGTTAGAAGATTTTCAGTGAATAATAATATAAATATCTGTGAATTGCTCACAAAGCTATTGTATGACCTATTTCGATTCTGTTAAATGTGTCCTTTTGCTTTCCATGGAAGAAAGGGGAAAAAATGTGTTTAGAACAACATGAGGGCAGGGGCGCGGGAAGATGTTTTCGGTTGGGGGTGCTGTGTGTGTCCGTGTTGGGTGAAAGGGG